TTATATTCACTTACGCGCAAATACACTTGGTAAGGATATGAATCTACCAATTCTCCCTCAAATATGAGTTAATTATTAAGACGTGTATCAGGAAAACGGTTATTATCTAAAATAAAATAAAATTGCTTGCAAAATATTTAGATTTCGGTATTAAATAACCCAGAGATGTTGATATACCGTTAAACATAAAACAAAGCCGAGATAAGAACACTACAATATAATCGTTGTACATTTGACAGTAAGTCAATGAGGTTTTGAGTAGTAGCGGATTTTCTAGATTTATCTATCCGACTTGCAGTGATTAATTTGCAGCGTCCTCATAGGTCAGTGTTTCTCAACCGTATCTACTTCAAGGCGCACTTGTTGAATAATTAAATCTCTGGGGAGTAATTAAAATTTTAATAGGGAATAATTAGTCATGAGATTTGAAAATATGAAATTTAGGTCTAACATTCCCAAAGATGATTAGCGGCACCGTTTTCATTTAAAGAGATTTCAGAAGAATCTACTATTTTTTCAGATAGATCGATAGTGACAGATTTTAATTCCTTGAGTAAGGCAAAAGGGAAAGGAATTGCATTTTTTCTTTAAAATTAAGAAATTTAGCGCCCATTTTAAAATATCAAATGACTAAGAGATGACTTAGATATAGAAAACATATGCTTGGTGTCTCCAGCTTTTTAGGCATAAAGTTTTTTAATATAAATATAATTCATAAATTACCCTTCTGTCAACTTGAGGTGCACCTGGTTGCTTTTCAGTGTGTAACAGTGAGCACGGACGCACCCGTTGAGAGTCGTCCTGGGTAAGACGTTAAACTACATCCACGTCCTGGGTAAGACGTTAAACTACATCCGCGTCCTGGGTAAGACGTTAAACTACGCCCAATAGCAAGGCCTCTGATCAGGAGGTTTTAAGGAGCGTGGAACCACCTCTTAATTGCTGGTGTTCCCAGGTCCACCCTGACCCGGGGTGGTAGCACCTGTTAGGTCCAAAGCATGGGGAAATAGTTAACTATTACCAGCAATACTTTTTTTGAAAAGAAATATTGCCAGCAATACAATTTTGAAGGAAATATATTACCAGAAACAGATTCTTGACAAAACAAAATATTACCAACAATAAAAATTTTGGTCAGCATTAAATAACCTATTGAGGTTGATATGCCGTAAAACAAAATAAACCAAAACAATCTAAACCAAAGAATATATACTCTATTCATACGAATCTACCCTAAAAATGTTGTCGGTATTAAATAACCCATTGAGGTTGATATGCCGTTAAACAAAATAAACCAAACCAAACCAAACCCGTTGAGAGACGCTGTTATAGATGAAGAAGAACAGACGAGAAGCGAGATCGATATGGTACAAAAGACTGATGTTGTGAATACCATATACTGAATATGTGAACAACGAGAACGGTCTAAAGAAAAGGGAAATCAAAGATATCCTTAGAATCAGAAAGAGCCAGCTGAAAGGTCAGGGAAACATTATGAGGAAAGCTAGCTTGGAAAATTCAACACTCACAGGACATATTGAATGAATGAGGGGCAGAGCGGAAATAGCGAGTAAGCCTCTTAATCAGTTTAGGTGACAGACAGGGGACAATAGGAATGGTAGTGTCAAATCTCGCATATAATCAACATCATCATTATTTGTCCCATGACCCTCTGTAGTCCTCTAGTAACTGTATATTTGACCATCTGAATAGCCCCCTCCACATGTCACGGTTGCTTGCCGATGTCTGCGTCTTTGTGAATTATATTCCAGATCACTTAGAGTTTTCCATTTCCTAGACTAGTTGTAACTTTGAGGCAAGCGAACCCAGTCAGTCCTACTGTTGAGCCCATAGCTGGGTGGAGAAGAGACTGGTGATTCATACCTTTCCCGAGGGTATTTATGCGAAAGCGAACGTAAAGACCTTGACTGGAATTCGAACCTGGCTCGCCGATTTCTCTTTCCTTATCGCGGCTAATTTACCCGCACATCATAATGACACAAGACACATTACAGACACTGAATATAAAAGGATCACAAAATGGTGGATATAGGAGTTTGCATGTGTTCCTATTAGGAGTTCAATCCTTGGATCAGGGAGTGAAGCACCGATTCAACAAAAACAAACAATGGTTGATATCACGAGGATAAAGTACCACAATAATCAACAGATATACCATATCAGCCAATCAATAGACATTTGATGATGACCAGAGGGTACTTAGTCGAAACGCTGTATCTATAATAACATCTATATCAACCAAGATGAGAACAGTAATTCGAAATGGTATAAATATATTGAAAATTACTTATCTCTGAAATGAAATACTAAATACATGGACTTAAATACAGATTGAATATTAAAAATTAATGTCAATATTTTTCTTTTTTGTGTAACTGTAGTTTATTTTCGTAATCATTTCACTCCAAGAAAGGTGGGAATGCCACTGGTACACAGAAAGTTACAGAGAATGAAAGAGAGAGAGAAAAGATTGAGTATAGGAAGTATTGAGGAATAAACAAAGATGGCAATTAACGTTGCATTTAAATTTTTGAAGCAAGTAAATAGAAAGGAGTTCCACAGGCGGGAAGTTCGAGAAAATAAACTGTTGAAGTAGAGGTGGTAGGTGCATTTAGCCATTTCAACAGTAAACTGGTGGGACCTAGATACCAAACTAGTAGCACCCCTAAAATCCTGTAATCGGAGACTTCATAACACTTGATTAGTCGTGAAATTTTCAGATTCAGTAAGTGTAAATCCAACATTAACTTAAATTAATTTTCAAGTTGAAAATAGACCAGTCTTTTATGCGTGTATATTCTTTTTCGATCAGGTTTCATGAACTTTACACGCTGAAGCAAAAAGATCTGTGAATGCTTCACCTAAAACACACAAAGCAAGTTCCCATTATAACATATTCATGAATATTTCGTTGTGTATACAATATAGGTCTAACAAAAAGTCTTGTTTTAAGGTTCGCTTTTGTTGATTTTGTTTAATAAATGTTATCTTGCATTGCAATTCAAATGGTCATGTACTCTTTTTCACCAACATTATTTCATGTACTATAAAATGTTCCTGTAAGAAACCTTACACATTTAATTATTGAAGTAGTTAATCATTGAACTTTAAACTTCTGTTGGGACGCTAGAACTTTAGAGGGAACTCATATATATGACCCATTGCTAAAGAAGCCGGAACAATGATCGGTTCCTTGTGTCCATTACAGAAAGTATCGAAATCCTCTTGCATTTTCTATCGTAATAAGAGTCAGATCACATTCACAGATCGCAATATGTATCAGAGATGAAATTTAAATTTTTATTATTGCATTATTTTCAAAATTTTAACACATTAGCAGATAGCTATTAATATCAACAGGTAAGCATGAAAATGGAATAACGCTGCCATTTATAGGTAGGGACTTAGCAGTCATCGATTCCCAGTTTCGATAAAATTCGAAAGCGTCTCAGCATCTTTGTGAGGGATGAATTATTTTCCACTTTACAACTTCTTTCCCACAAACGAAAAGTTGCAAGCCTCTTACTGTTCTATCGCTATTAAGTGTAAATCTAACATTAACTTAAATTACGAATGTCATTCAATAAATAAAGTGAATTTTTCGGTATAAGGACTTCTAATACAGATAGAAGCTTACTTTTTTTAAATTTTTTATTTGTTTTACTTCTTTTTCACATGCATTTAATTTCTTTTGCAGATTAAAAAAACTTTGAGAGTTTTGGCGATTAATAAAGATGGCCGACCAAGAATCATGCTCCAGGATTGAACAGCGGTCAGTTATCAAGTTTTTGGTTGCTGAAGGATGCAAGCCAGTTGAAATTCATAGGAGAATGTCAACTATGTATGTTGCCACATGTTTCATCCAAAGAAATGTCTACAAGTGGACTAAATTGTTTAAAGAAGGACGCAGCAGTGTTGAGGATGAAGACAGGCCTGGGAGGCCTACAGGAGTGAGGTCTCCTGAGGTAATCGAATCAGTCAATGACCTCATTCAGTCTGACAGAAGGGTGAAAGTGGATGACATTGCAAGGACTTTGAGCTTATCTGTTGGGACAGCACACAAAATTGTCCATGATGACCTTGGCTACTCGAAGGTCAGCTGCCGATGGGTGCCAAAGATGCTTACTGCAGAGCACAGACAGAGGAGGGTCGAGTTGTTCCAGCAGTGTTTCTCCCGCTATGAGAAGCATGGTGATGAGTTTTTGAAGAAGGTGGTCACATGTGACGAGACATGGGTTTGGCACTATGAGCCTGAGTCCAAACGGCAGTCCATGGAGTGGAAGCACGTAGGCTCTCCAGCGAAGAAGAAGTTCAAGTCCCAGCGGTCCACGAGGAATGGGATGCTCAGCGTTTTTTGGGATATGCAAGGCCCAATCACCATTTCATTCCTTGAGAAAGGAAGCACTTTGAACAGTGCCAACTACTGTGAACTGCTGAGGCAGGTCAAGAAATACATAAAGAACAAACGCAGGGGTCATCAGTCAGAAGGAGTCATCTTGCATCATGACAACGCAAGGCCTCACACAGCAGCCCAAACGGTGCAGACCATCAACGACCTGGGCTGGGAACTGCTCCCTCATCCCCCTTACAGCCCAGACCTTGCCCCTTCAGACTTTCACCTGTTTGGTCCCTTGAAAGCGTTCACGAGAGGCACGAAGTTTAAAAGTGACGATGAATAGTCAATAGTGTTGTGAGCGACTGGCTGAGGCATCAGTCCAAAGATTTTTACGCTGAGGGAATACGGAAGCTTGCGCACAGATGGGAAAAGTGTGTGACAGTGCTGGGAGACTACGTTAAAAAATAAAAAAGTAAGCTTCTATCTGTATTAGAAGTCCTTATAAAAAATTCACCTTATTTATTGAATGACCCTCGTATTTCTTCAAGTTCAAAATCGATCGGTCTTTTTATGCGTGTATTTTCTTTCCTATAGATATAAAATATACGCATAAAATCGTACATTGATCAATAAATTTATACACTATGAACGCTATGAGAGAGAGGGAGAGGAGGAGGAGGAGGAGAGAGAGAGAGAGAGAGAGAGAGAGAGAGAGAAGCTACAATATAAGTCCTGACCTGATATATCGTCTTCAGTCACTTTCCAATCTCCTTAACGTAGCTTCACTTCTGGTTATTGCTTTGATGAACTTTCGTCTTTTATGAATATTCATTGGAGATTTCAGTTTTAAATATTTTCATTTTTATCCACCCTCATAGACCAATTGTACATATGAAAACTAATCATGAGTCCATAGAGACTGTGTGGTATTATGGTGGCTGTAGTAAAAATGGTAAGTAAGAATGTGTTGTTTAGGTGAAAGGAATATCGTGGTATTTTTGGGTTAGTAATTGTGGTTAACTAAGTTTAAGATACGACAGATTGAAGACCAGCCCCTTCCCATTCCCTCTTTTCGCCTTATGTCGCAATTTTGCATTTTTTCGAAATGAATATTACTCTTTTGTACTTCAGGGTTACAAACTTAAGTGCAGAACTAGATTGGCAGAGAGGTCTCAAAATGTTACTGTTGAAATTGCTCAGTGAAAGCTTATATTTTATGCTGATTATTTCTCCTCTCCCATTTGTCTCTTGTATAACTGTCAGCTTCTTGCTTTTCTGTCTACTACACTAGCCAGATATTGAAAGGCAACATCAAGTGTCATCTTCTGTCACCTTGGCTCCAGTTCTTTTACTGTTTGCTATCTTCTCAATGTTTTCTAAGGTTCTTACACTCTCAGTAACCTCTTGCGTCACAGTGGCTTTATCGCCTTGCTTGGGGTGAAATGATTATAAAAAGAACAATTTTATCGTACGCTATTTATCTCGGAAGCATCCAAGTTTCATTACTTTGAGAGACTGACATTTTTACCGGAAAGTTTCCTTTGATTTATGAAATGTTATTAGTTGTCTTGTTGAACAAGGAAAGGGACGCCACACTCTCTGTTCCGAAAGATAAGGAGAAGACTAAAGCTGCGCAAATAGAAGCCGGAAATTAAAGGTTGCTTCCATGGGTATGTTTTACTAAGGAAGAAGCGATTGCGCATGCGCTGAATCCAAAATAAATAAATCAGCCATTGCTGTTTACTTTACTTTCGTTGAATCAAGAAAACACACTCGGTAAACCCTGTTGTGTCGGTAGAATGAAAATGTTAGTATCTTTCTCATTTTTTTCTTTCTTTTCCTTTACATTCAATGGTTAAAATTGAGGGCTGACAGAGAAAAAGAGATGGAAATAGAAAAAGAAAGTGAGATAGAAAAAACTAGAAAAAGATATTGAGAAAGAGAGTAAAAACGAGGGAAAGAGACGATAAAAGATGAAAAAAGAAAAAAGTGACAAAATGGAAAAAAAAAGAAAAAGTAAAAAACGAAAAGATAGAATAAAAGAAAGACGATTTTGAAAAAGTGACAGGAAAAGTGATGAAAAAAGAAGTAAAAGAAATAGGAAAAGAAATACAAAAAAATGAGAAAGGAAAATGGTAAAGACATAAAAGTGAAAGGTTTGAAGCATAGAAAAGAAATGGAAGACGAAAATTAAAAGAAGGGAAGAAGGAAACGAAGTTGAAAAAAGAAAAAGAAAAATAGGCAGACAAAAAGGGTCAGCAAAGGTGAAAAAACAAAACGAGTTTGAAAAGCAGAAAAAGAAAAATAAGGGATGAAATAGAAAGCGAAAAAGAGAAGGTAAAGGACAAAACAAAATGAGGTTGGAAAGCAGAAAAAAGGAAAGCAGACGAGAAAGTGAAAAAGGAAAAGAAATGGGAAATATAAGTTGAAGGTTATAAACCCGCCGGCCGTTTCAAAGAAAAATTATTTATCAGATGAAATAGGTATTTTATGAGTGAGTCCAACAACGCATCTGAAAAGGAATACGTTTTGAATTGTTATACATTATTGAATCTCTTACATGGCAGTGAAAAGTGAACAACCTCATCGGAAAAACGGACAAGACCTGAAACGACAGACGTGGTTATACAACTGATGAAATTATGATCGGCAGAAAATAAAAACAAAGAGACAACGCCAAGAAAGTAGGACATACAATTAGAAAATGACAGTTTTAAATTCCGGAAAGCATAATGAAGAAAAGAGGTTCAAGAGAACATATGAACATATGAACAATGATACATTTTAAGAAAGGTGGTACATACAGTTAGAAAATGACAGTTTTAAATTCTGGAATGCATAATGAAGTAAAGAGGACTTGAAGAACAAATGAAGTTATGGACGACAGGGCAACTTAAAGAATGTTAGGGCATACAAATAGAAAAATACAGTTTCAATTCTGGAAGGCATAATTAAGAAAAGTGGAACAGAAGAACATGAAAAATGAAGCAAGGTAGGATATTCAATTAGATAATGACAGTTTCAAACTCTGGGGAGAATAATAGAGAAAGGGGGACTTGGAGAACATCTGAAGATATGGACAACGGGACAACTTTAAGAATGGTAGGGTATACATTTAGAAAAAGACAGTTTGAAATACTGGAATGCACAATGAGGAAAAGAGGAATAGGAGAACATATGAAAAGCGAGGTAACTTTAAGTAATGTATGACGTACAAATCGAAAGAGACAGTTTGAACTTCTGGAAGATATAATGAAGAAAAGACGACCAGAAGAACATATCAACATATGAAAACTTTAAGAAAGGGAGGATATACAATTTGAAAACGGCAGTTTTAAATTCAGGAAGGCATAATGGAAAAAAGGAGGACCGGTGTACATATGTAAAAGGAGTCATCTTTAAAAAAAATCGGATATACAATTAGAAAGTTTAAAATTCGAGGAGGCATAATGGATAAAGGAGAAACAAGAGAACATATGAACAAGGAAGCAACTGTAAGTAAGTTTTGAAATACAATTAGAAAATGAAAGTTTAAAATTCTGGAAGGCACAATGAAGAAATGAGGAACAGGAGAACATATGGACATATGAACAACGAGGTAATTTTAAGAAAGGTAGGACATACTATTAGAAAAAGACAATTTAAAATGGAAGACATAATGGAGAAAAGAGGACCAGGCGAACTTAAAACCCACAGTGCATATTGAAGGTAAGAGAAATAAGCTCAAAGACGAATTATAAACATTCAATAAATCATTTAGAGCATGGAAAATGGAAGTTGCGGAAAGTCATGATCTCGCACGTCTTGAGTGTACAATACACATAAAGGAAGAATACATATACCAATTTAATCGCAACATCTGCTGAAATGTTGCAGAGTCTGCTTAAAAGAGAAAATTCCTTCGTCGGTACCACAAGAGTTTTACGAAATAACGGAAAGCACATCAGAAACCAATTTTAACAACAACAAAATAAAAAATAAATAGTCGATGTAACTCGAGGAGAAAATAATTACATAATGATTATGTTAACTTTCCACCTGCCTCAGACAAAAGGCCAGAGTAAAGAATCTCCCCATTAGTACTAGAAAGAGCTATAACAGTTGATGGACTTGGGTAGTTTAGTTTTTCTTTTTTAATCATTCTGCCCCAAGCAAGGCAATGAATTCACTAAAACACAAGGGGTAACTGAGTGTGAAAGAATAAGAGAAAAGAGAATTATTATTCAGGAGCGAGGACAATAAAAGAAGAGTATTCAGGAAGACAGGAGATAACGATTGACATTGCAGTTAAATTTTTGAAGATAAAATTTGGTTGGAAAACATGTTTCGGAAAAGAGTTCCATAAGCGTGAAATGCGATAAACGAAAAGACTGTTAGCATAGAACTTACAGATACATTTAGTCAATTTAACTGTAAATTAATGAGACATTTTTGTTAATCTGGTACTGCGCTTAAATTCACAAAGTCTAGGTAGAAGAACTTCCATCCGAACGATTACCATGAAAGTATTTATAGAAAAGGCACAGGGGAAAAAAAAAAAACTTTACAATGGTGAGAATGTGATTGAAGCAGAGTTGCCAGGTCAGGACTAATTATATTGCAGATTATTTTTTAGATTTTATTAAGAATCGCTAAATATATAGCAGGGGCATAGGACCGCATTCAAAGCATGGACGAATGGTAGTCTTATGTATATGTAAGATAGACACTGGAGAGATAGATTATCTCGCATGAACCACGGTGAACCAATTTAGTAGAAGATCTAGCAATTAATTCAATATAATCTTTCACCTTCACCTCCGAAGAGAATGTTAGCCGGAGAAGGTGTAGCCAATCATTCTCCAGGAGATTAGCATCAGCCATAATGATGGAATGGAGAAAAAGGTTTCACAGATGATTAATAGTGTGAAATTTAATTTTGGAGGCGTTTAATCTTATTTAATACATACATTTTTTTAAAATAAGTTCCTACCTATAATAATGATAACTATTCGATCAATGAATGTTAAACTGATAATTTTATCATTACTATTTAATTATTAGACAGCTGAGATTAAAAATAACTTCATCTGGTGGGGATCGAATTCACAAGTCAGTAATAATGAACAACCAGACTACGATTATCCCACGGTGGGTAACGTCCGTCTGTTGAATGTTGATCGATATATCATGGTCATCATTATTCCCTTGTGCCCGATAGATGGGCTAGGAATTCTCCGCTTCGCTGTCAACGTTGTTTGATCAAAACGTTGGAATTTGGAATGTACGTGCAACGTTGTATATATCGCACGGTGAAATAAATGCGAAGGGTTTCTTTTGAATCGAGTCAGAGATCATGAGCGGGGAATAAAGATTCAACCGGACCATATGCCATATGTTTAGCACGAACTACTGAGAATAAGACGGCGCCAGCGTATACGAATGATAGAGTTGTTTGATTGGCGCTGCTAAATAACGAGTCGATAACTGGTTCTTATTTTACCTTATTCTAAGCGGTCTGCCATTTTCATTTTGTTCTTTTCCATCGATAAAAGCGATTAAGCTGAAGTTTTTCTTTCTCTTAGCCTATCCGCTTCTTTACTTTTTAATTTATTTCTCAGATTAAGGACATCTTTTACTTAAGACTTTATATTACAATATTTGATATAATAAATTATTATTGGGAGCGGAGATTGGGGAGTATAATTTTATCTTAGGAACTTGTCCATCGTCTTCGATACTAATCAGTTGTTAAATTTAATTTTGAAGCAGCCGCCAATATATGACTTTTTTGCACTACTCAGCCAAGGGATTTAACGCACTAGTGAAAAAAATCGTAAGAAGTGCAATGTCAACATTTAACCTACATGATCTGTATAAAGACTTCGACTCAAAATTACGAGTCAGTTATCGAGTACGTGAGACATCTGAAGAAGTTCAAGAAGCACAACAGCAGAAACTTGAAGAATGAAGAAGAAATTATAAATGAATGGTGTAGCCAGCACCAGTTCATGACTGTTGAACTCTCTGCTTTGGCAGAGAGGAACCCGGACGACGCTTTGTCAAAGGGCAGGGTTTCGTCCGGGGAGATAGACAGGCCCTGAACCCGTCTAGGCGGGTTCAAAGGGTATATTTTTGGCCGATCCTACGGGCTCGGAGAAACCCACTTTAATTTCGGCCTCGTGCCACATATATTCCTCTTGGGTGGGATATTAAATACAATGAAGAAGAAATTATAGTATTTTTTTTCATTTCCTTCTCTATAGGTTGCCCTACTGCAATAAAATTTCTTTTTTTTTCTTTTCACCTAATTCGTTTTTTTTTTAAAGATGATTATCTTCTCTTTACGTTTACTCGAGACGGAAGCATTTATTATGTTTTATTTAACATTAGTTCTTTATCGGTTATACGACACCTCCCATTACATTAATTTGTAATATATATATATATATATATATATATATATATATATATATATATATATATATAAAGTATAAGTTCACGTTGGGTTTTTTTTTTTTTTTTTTTATTTTAAGTGCTCCGTAGAGAAGTAGAGCTTTATTATAATAATATTTTTTTTGTTTAAAAATATGATTCCTTCGCTACATAAGAGTTCTCATGTTTAAAAACGAGAGCCAAAACCATCCAAATAATTATTAAAATTAAGTTGAATTGAGGTTTTATCACGTTTCATCTTCAAGCGAAATTTAGGAATAAGCTATCTCTCTCGGTTTACGTGTGTTTTTAGGCATGGTCCGTTACATTAATTCGTTATTGTGGCATATAGACTATTTTCTTCGTTATGGTCATTAATTCTTATCAATAGATTCGTCACCTGAGAGGTTTTGCTAAGGTTGGGTAGGGTATCTTTTAAACAAATATATATATATATATATATATATATATATGCTATTAATAAATATATATGTCGTTTCTCGCTGTTTGGTACAAATTTGTGTTTTTCAGGGACGTTCGTCAGGTAGTTTTAATCAGTTTGATTGTCACGCAAATGAAAACTCAAAGTTGTACCAAGTAAAAACCAAAATATATTTATTTTACATCGACCACTGTTTTATTAGCGCCAGCACTCAAACACACATTTCGTGCGTTTTTGTTCTTCGGTTTTCTGTATTTGTTTGATAAACAAAACTGAAAATATGGTTGAAAGATTTCGTTTTATTCAGATCT